CCCGGCTATTTTTTGGTTGCAGCCGTCATTGTTGTTTGGCGGGTCCGGGCTGGGGATTCAAACCCACCACCTTAGGTGTATGTGGCTGGCACCTTAGCCGGTTGAGCTATAGGCGCCGAGCCCGGAAATTTCTTAAAAGAAGTAGCTCATAGAATTGTTCAGAGGCTGAAGAAATAGGCTTGGAACAAAGATAGAACATTCCAGAATCATGGTGAGAACTGGCTAAGTGCCCACTGCTGTCAGTGCTAGCTGAGCACTAGATGCTACTCTGTGTTGCTGCCAGAAAGTGGACTCTTAGGTAACTAGTAAAGCTATTGACACTGAAGCCATTTCTACTCTGGAAGTTTACTGTGTAACCATTACTGTCAAAAGCCAGGAGCTCTGCCACCACTCTCACCAGCAGAACAGTAACCACACCAAGCCAGTTTCCTCATCTTGCTGATTTCTCAATTAAACCCTACTGTATGTGTCTGACAGGAAGAGCGTAGGTCACAAGCCTTGGCTCCAGGTGCAAAGAGAGCCAGGGAAGAGAATTTTTCTGATTTCTTCCAGAGAGAGCACCAGAAAACTGTTCAAAAGGGACTTATTACCTAGAGACTTGCCGATTGTAGCTTCAGAAATTTTGATGCTTGTGGTGGTGTTTGTGTTTTAATACTTCAGTCTCTGGTATCATGCCATTACAAGAGACAAAAGTACACTCCCAGTTGAAGTAAATAAGCACTTGTAGGGCTGGTGCAGTGGCTCACACCTGTAATCCTGGCACTTTGGGAGGCTGAGGCAGGAGGATCATTTGAGGTCAGGAGTTCAACACTAGCCTGAGTAAGAGCTAGACCCTATATCTACAAAAAATAGAAAAAATGGACAGGCCTGGTGGCATGTGCCTGTAGTCCCAGGTACTTGGAAGGCTAGGACAAGAGGATTGCTTGAATGGAGGACTCCGAGGCTACAGTAAGCTATGATGATGCCATTGCACTACCCAGGATGTCAGAGTGAGACTCTGTCTTAAAATGACAAAACAAGTACTTGTAAAATACAGGATACTCTCAAGAAGTCTCATTTGTGTCTGTACACCTTGCCTTCGTGGAAATTGAAGGTTATGGGCAGCCTTTCCACCCACACTTCTAAGTGGGCCTATCTTAGCTTTCATCTTGGTCTTTCCTGAAATGTCTGGTCCAAGTTGCTTTCCATATATCACTGCCTTTTGCAATGCTTTTAATTTATTTTTTATATGGCTTTGTTTTATCAAGTCTATAATGGTAAGTTCCAAAGCTAAATTGTCTTTACAGTCTTAGTTAGTCTCTGGGTCTCCTTTCCACTTCCTGGGAAAGAAAATGATTGGCTGAGATGTATGGGTGGGGCACACTTCTGGTCTAATAAGCTGTGGCCAGGAGGGCAGGGTCATGTGGTATATATAAGGCCATCTTTTTCTTAGAAGCAGGGAAGTAATGGTGGGCATTTCCAGCTTTACTTTTAAAGCTCATTTTCTTTCTTTCTTTCTTTCTTTTTTTTTTTTTGAGGCGGGGCAGGGTCTCACTCTTTTGCTTGAGCATGAGGGCAGTGACATGATCATAGTTCACTACAACCTCAAATTCCTGGGCCCAAATGCTTTGGCCTCAGCCTCTTAAGTAGCTAAGATTACCATTGCATGTCACTATGCCTGGCCAATTCTTCCACTTTTTGTAGAGATGAGGTCTTGGTAAGTTTCTCCCGCTATTCTTGAACTCTTTTTTTTTTTTTTTTGAGACAGAGCTTCAAGCTGTCCCCCTGGGTGGTAGAGTGCCATGGCATTACAGCTCACAGCAACCTCCAACTCCTGGGCTCAAGCGTCTCCTGCCTCCGCCTTCCAAGTAGCTGGGACCACAGGCGTCTGCCACAACGCCCAGCTATTTTTTGGTTGCAGCCGTCATTGTTGTTTGGCGGGTCCAGGCTGGGGATTCAAACCCACCACCTTAGGTGTACATGGCTGGCACCTTAGCTAGTTGAGCTATAGGCACCGAGCCTATTCTTGAACTCTTGACCTCATCTTCCCACCTTGGCCTCCCAAATGCTAGGATTACAGGCACAAGCCACTGTGCCCAGCCTTTACAACTCATTTCCTTTCTGGACTGTACTATGAATCTCGTTACTATTTTTTTTTTTTTTAATTCTCCAACATCTTTCCATTTTCTTTGGCAGCAGCCACCTCTATTCGTTTACCCTCATCTTACTAAGCCAAATGACTCCCTCTTCCTTTCCCACCCACTTTCCTTTACAGTGTCTCAAAAACAATATGGTCTCCCTGTAACTCTCTCCCATCTTCTAGGTACTTATTGAGCCATTTCTTTAAAGAAAGGATACTCTTTTACATGTTGACTATACCACGAAGGTAACAATATTATAGGGACGTAACTGGACACTGCTGTTCTTGGTGTCTAAACACACATCTGCTTGTCATTTCTTAGTTAATACTAATTAAACTAATCCATAGCATTGACGCTAAGTAAGATACAGGTCTTCTGCAGGAATGCCACTTATTCATTCAGCTGTAGAGTTTCTGCCAACACATAGCAGATTTTAACTGCTAGACTGTGGCTATAAGGACAAGAGATAAAAATGGAATAGTTACTATGTGTCAAGATTCTGCTCTAGATGTTTTATATTGATTTTTATCTTATCAGGTGGGAACAACTTTACAAATGATGAACTGAAACAGAGAGGCAAAGTAATTAGTGACTTTCTCAGAGTCACACAACAGAAAGTAGCAGAAGCCAGTCACAAACCTAACCAGTGAGCAAAACACAGCACTCACCCTCCAGCAACTCCCAGCCCCAGTGTAATACACAGGCAAGAAGTCAGGCATAAGTGAGCCCACAGGGGACTCAGAAGCTGGACCACTAAGCAGCTAAACTTCTGAAAGCAGCAGTGTGTGCAGACACATGAGATGACACGAAGGTAAGCAGGCAAATTAAGAGGGAAGAATCTTCCTGCAAGAGTTGAAAGCAGTGAATTTAGCGATTCTGAAAACATTCAGTGTGGCCAGAACATAAAGTGTCAGGAGAGTGGAGAGGGATTAACTTTGGAGAGGCAAACAGGAGCTGTGGTATGAAAGGGCTTGCAGGATATGTCACAGCCGACAAGAACATTTTTCTGTTTTGTTTTCCTCTCCCAAAACACTGAACCATAAATGGCAATACTGATTTAGTTTTAAAAAGCAAAGATTTGTCAAAAGATGAAATTTCTTATACACACACCTTAGAAAATAACTCAAAGACCATCTTCTGGCAAGCTTTCTCATAGGGGTCCTCTGGTAACAGCTTCTTCCCTGGGTAAGCTTCATCCAGGTACTCACAAGTGATGGCAGATTCGTAGATCAGTTGACCCTTACTGTTTTCCAGAACTGGCACAAGGCCTGAGGGATTCTTCTTAAAGAACCACTCAGGCTTATTTTTCAGATTGATATTGATGACTTCATGCCTGAAAGATAGATGGAAGACTATGAAGAACAGGAAAACATTTTTTTTGGTACATCGGAATAAATCCTCCCTTGCCCTGCTGTCTATTTAGCTGATCAGACCCCCAGTTTAGGAGTCAGCTCTGCCTTGATTCCTTCCATTCTGGTCTTTGATTTTATGACAATTTTAGAGTTTCTCTAAGTGGCATCATGCAGTATTTGTCTTTGTGTTTGGCTTATTTCATCTAGCAGATGAACTTTAAGGTCCATACGTGTTGTCATATATTGCAGAATTTCCTTCTTTTAAAATAGTATTCTAGGCTCAGTGCCTGTAGCTCAGCGGTTAGGGTGCCAGTCACATACACCAGAGCTGGCAGGTTCGAATCCAGCCCGGGCCTGCTGAACAACAATGGCAACTACAACCAAAAAATAGCTGGGCGTGGTGGTGGGCGCCTGTAGTCCCAGCTACTTGGGAGGTTGAGGCAAGAGAATCGCTTATGCTCAAGAGTTTGAGGTTGCTGTGAGCTGTAACGCCACAACACTCTACTGAGGGCGACCTAGTGACACTGTCTCAAAAAAAAAAAAAATTAAAACAAAATAGTATTCTATACACCACATTTCTTTATCCATTCATCTGTCAGCAGATGTTGACTTATGCTACTGTGAAAAGTGTTGGAGTGAACGGGGCATGTTAATATCTCTTTGAAAACCTGATTTCAATCCTTTTGGATATATACCCAGTAGTGGGATTGTGGAATCATATGGTAGTTTATTTTTAATTTTTTGAAGAACAGAATCTGCATCCGGTTTTCCACAGTGGCTGTGCTATTTTACATACCCACCAACAGTGTGCAGGGCGCTCCAGTTTCTGTACGTCCTTGCTATCACTTCTTGTCTTTTTTAAAAATTACAGTTATCCTGACAGGTAGGAGGTGATACCTCATTGTGGTTTTGATTTGCATTTTCCTGATGATTAGTGACAATAAGTATTTTTTCATATAGCTGTTGGCCTTTGTACATCATCTTGGAGGAAATGTCTTTTCAAGTCCTTAGCCCATTTTTTAAATCAGATGATTAGGTTTTTTGTTATTAAGTTGTAGAAGTTCCTTATATATGTTGAAGATTATTGCCTTACCAGAGAGTTTGTAAATATTTTCTCATTCCATAGGGTGCCTTTTTACTCTGCATCCCTTTGTACTCTGTTTATTTCCTTTCTGTGCATAAGCTTTTTCTTTTGTTGCAGTCCCATGTGTTTATTTTTGTTTCTGTTGCCTTTGCTTTGGTGTCCTATCGATGAGATTACTGCCAAGACCAATGTCACAAAGCTCTTCTTCTGCACATTGGCTTTTTTTTTTTTTTAATCTGCATTTGCCCAATGTGTTGTCAGCTTAGAGTCTACATTTGCCGTTCCTCTTCTTCCAGATCTTCCCGGGTCAAACACACATCCTCTGAGAGGCCCTCCCTGACCACAGCTCCGCAGCTGTTGGAGGTCAGAAAACTGCTCTCCAAGGGAGAACAATCATCTTGTTTCCCTTTCTCCATTCAACTGATAACATACCTAAAATTACTTTGCTCCCCTATTTACATGTTCATGTAAGTCACCTTCCTAGAATGTAAGCTTCATGACAGCTAGGATCTTCTGTGTCTTGTTCATGTTAATAAACACACACACAAATGAGCAAAATTTTAAATAGACATAAATTTTAAATGGAAAAAATAAAAACTGTTTCAGATAGGGACTCAGTAAGTATTTGGGGAATGAATGAATAAAATAGGTGGAAATGCCTCAAAATTGGCAGTAAGATATCCCATTTTGGGCTAAGAAGTCTTTTAACTATAAATTAAACTAATTGAATTGTGTCCAGTACCCACTACATGAGAACCAAAATGATAAAATTCATTTTGCTAACCTGAACAAAAAGTTCTTTGTTCTTTATAAAGATATTAAAGAATCCTAAAAATCCATGCACAAAATAAACTTTCAGTTTAAATATCCATGTACTGTTAAGTTTTTTAAAACATCGTCTGGGCAAATCATACACAATAAACCAAGAAGGAAGAAAACAAGTGAAGTCCAGGCTACATTTAGATCACTACTTGGTCTCTCTATTGTGCCTGAGAGATTGTAGAGGGAATAAGAGAAAGGAGCTAGGTCCACATAATTGTCAAAGCTGGATGTGTTCAATAGAAGAGATTCCTCAAAGCTAGGATGCATAATACCAGTATCTTTCATCTCCTGTTTCCATATCCATAGCATTTAATTTGAGGATTTAACATGTAATCCCTCACGGACAATGGAATAGCCAGTTTGAACACTAGCATAGGTGTGTGTATGTATTAAAAGATTCACATACCCACAGAATACAGGCCATTCAGCTACCAGCCATTGCAAGCCAAAGGTCTTTGGCCTGCTGCCAAAGAATTCTCAACATTTCTGAAAATTTGTATTATGGAAACAAAAGGTAGACCCTGGGCCTTTGTGAAAAAGTTTCTCAGAACACACATGCATTTTGGTAACCTGGCAATAAGTCAAGAGACCTGCCAGGACAAGTGGGAAGTTGCACCTTTTAGAGAAATCCATGCTTTGTTAAGTTACATAACATGGTAAAAATCTAGCATTTTGCCAAAAAAGTCTCCTGGGGTTCAAACTTAAAAATGATCCATGAATGTAGTAGACTTCTGTTGTTTGCACTATCTGGAAGCTATTATCACCCTCCCCCCCCCACTCTTGTGGTAAAATAATTTCATTTTTCTTTTGGAACATTGTCCCAGTAAGTAAAGCAGGGTTGTTTTCAAACACGAGTTCTAGAACAGGGCACATAACCCAGCCTGTGGAATACAGTAAGACCTTGTTTCTAAAAAAAAGTTGGGGGGCAGGGGACTAAGTTTTAAACTTCCACAGAGCCTTCCACACCACAGGTATCTAATAAACGTTCAAAAGACATCCAAAAGTCTCTATAGAGGAAGTAGTCTCAATGGAGACTTGGTGTCAGAGAAAACCCAAGTGACTTTCGCCTATGTCCTGTGGATGACCCATAGATCAAACAGTATGCTGGTTTTGAAACTGAGGCTTTGCAAAAGAATGAATTTTTAGGCACAGACATTTCCCTTTGATTCAACCGATAACCCATCTGCAGGAATATTTACGGTAAATGTAGAGCTGTGCTAGAAGGGCCAAAGACGGAAGTCTGTATTGGGGTAAATTATTTGGGAGGGACCACATGCTCAGAATTAGTAGCAAACGCTATGGGATAAGCCGGACAAGAATGGAGAATCACAGAAGGGCGAAAGCGAAAGGGCACTGGCCTAGGAATCCAGAATTTATCCCTAAAAGAGCTGCTGCCAGTCTTTAGGCAAATCAGTAACTTTACTGGCGCCTCAGCTTCTCTGATCCATTAAGTGGCTGGTTAAATAAGTTGTTCTACACCGTTAGAGTCTGCGGCATTTTTTTTTCCCTGGGAAGAGGGCCCGCATTTGGTGTGTCCTCCTCCTGTGGCCCTCCCTGAGGCTCCAGGAGTGTTCCCCTGCATGAGTCCTCACCGGATTCCCTTGGCCTTCAGGACTAGAAGCGTCCTCTTAGCAAACGGGCAGAACCTCATGCTGTAGATGCGGATGAGACCCTCCGGGACAGGCCCCGGGGGCGCGCTTCCTGCGGGGAAGAAGCGAAGGCCTTTAGGAACTTGGGAGAGGTCGGGGCCCCCAATATTCCGCCGCCCCCCGTCTCCCACCGCAGCCCGGCCCGTTCCCCTCCTCTGGGGCCCTCCGGGGCGGCTCGGCTCCCCAAGCAGCCTCAGTCGGACATGCTGCAGTCGCCGAGATCACCCTCCTCCTCACCCTTCGCCAGGCTCCTGGCTGAAGTCTCGGACATTGTGGCGCAGCGCGGACCGACCTCGGCCGGGGCAGGCTCTGCGGTTTGTGGGCGATTCAGGAAGTAGATCGGCCCTGGCTTCCTTCCTGCTTCTCTCCTTGCCTCCCTCAAAAGTGCCGGCCTCGTGCGGTCACCAGCTCCGCCGCGCCCTGTGCCCGGGACCCTGCCCTACCCGGCGCGTATGCAGGGAGCCCCGCGGGTGACCGCGACCGGCGCGAACAGTCTGTCTCTCCCGCTCTCTGAAACACGGAAGCTCCGGCCACAGCAGCCTGAGCGCCTGGAGGGAAAATGCGGCCGAGAAGCCCATCCGGATGCGCCCGGACCCAGGGTCGGCCTTTACGGTTTTATGGGGTATCCCTTAAAACAAAGGCAGGTGCCTATTGTGCCAAAGTGTGTCCGCGGAGAGATGCACGGAATCCAGTGACTATGTTTTTGCTTCTCTTTGGTTCCGATTTGTGGTTCCAGGGGTTCTCATGAATCGGTGTAGTATTGGCAATAGTTACACGTGGAGGCTGAGGCATGTTTTGTCATACAGAACAAATTCTATTACTCCTACGTTTGTGTGTATGTGGGTCCAGATATAAACGGAGCCTGATGCCAGTTCTTTACTTTGACAACTGGATGAATATTGAAGATCAGAATTTAAATATTTTTAATTTAAAATAAAAATTTTAGAGTTAACCAATTTTGATTTGAATTTTTAATCTTCAATCTTATATTTGACTTTTATATTTCAAGAACTAATTTAAAATAACTGAACAACTAATGGTTTATGGGTCTCCATTTACATTCTTGTCTTAGAATTAGCAGTGGGCCTATCCTTAGTCCCCTTCATTAAAGCATTATTCAAAACCTTCCGTTCAGTGTATTATGTGCTTGCATGTTAATGTACACACTTCCACATTTCAATCTAGTGTAGTCATTTCAGCATCAGGAGCAAGGTAAGCAACTTGGGACAAGAAATTAAATATATACTGCATACACACACTAAAGATAACTTAAAGGCTAAAAATAAAATCTTAGGGCCGGGGACAATGGCTCACACCTGTAATCCTAGCACTCTGGGAGGCCGAGGTGAGTGGATTACTTGTGCTCAGGAGTTCAAGACCAGCCTGAGCAAGAGCCAGACCATCCCTACTAAAAATAGAAAAACTAGCCGGTTTTTGTGGTTAGCGCCTGTAGTCCCGGCTACAGGGGAGGCCAAGGCAAGAGAATCGCTTAAGCCCAAGAGTTTGAGGCTGCTGTGAGCTGTGACACTACAGCACTCTACCAAGGGCGACATAATGAAACTGTCTCAAAAAAAAAAGAAAAAAAAAAAAAAAAAAATAGCCAGGCATTTGCCTGTAGTCCCAGCTACTCTGAAGGCTAAGGAAAGTGAATCGTTTGCGCCCAGGTGTTTGAGGTTGCTGTGAGCTATGACTCCAGGACACTCTACCGAGGGCAACAAAAAGTGTTTAAAAAAAAAAAAAAGAAGAAGAAGAAGAAAAGAAAAATCTGAATCTGTTAGAGTAAATGCACAAAATAATAACATTCAGCTGATTTCACTAACTGGCCAAAGATCCCATAAAAATGTAACCTCTTCTCATATTCTTTACTCTAAAACTTTTGGAAATTAAAAATGATTTCCTATTCTTTTCTAGAAAAATATTCTATTTAAATTAAATGCCCAATTCACTTTAAAATTTTCAAGTTAGCACATCTCTTAAAAAGAAAGCTTCTTAAGACAATTAGAACTACCTGGGTTCAAACTCATTTGAGAGTTGTGAAACTTCAGGGGAAAGTCTCAATTATTCTATTTATACAATAAGTGTAATATACATGTTTCATAAGGATTTAAGATGCCAGGCCCAGAGTAGCAGCTTAATACAAGTTAGCTGTTATTATACAAACTGAAGGGGATAGGGTAGCAGAGCAGAGAGAAAAACCTGTGCACAAGGCCTAAGTTTGAGATTCAGGATGACCCAGGTTTAAACACATCTCTGCCACCAACTAAATGTGCAAACTGAAGTCTCCTACTCACTTCTCTGAGCCCCACTTTCCTATATAGCAGTGTTTTTCAACCTTTTTTATTTCGTGGCACACTTACTATAGTTAAACTTCTGCTGTACACTTAAATTATGTTGATTTAAAAAAGAGTAAAAACATATATTTACTGAGTTTTGAACTTCTTTTGAAAATAATTTATTCTTTAAAAACTTTTGTGGCATACCAATTGAAAAACACTGCTATATAGAATGGCTGGTGGGAGGATTCAGACTTTATCAAGTTCCTAACACATAATAAGAATTTAATAAATTATGCTTTGTTATATCACTACTATGAAAGGGTAAGTTACCAGAGGATAAATACATACTTCCTATCCCAATAGGTTATTCCTTTGCCTTAAAAACACCCATTATTGGTGGCGCCTACAGCTCAGTGAGTAGAGCGCTGGCCCCATATACCGAGGGTGGCGAGTTCAAACCCCACCCCAGCCAAATAGCAACAAAGAAATAGGCATTGTGGCAGGCGCCGGTAGTCCCAACTACTTGGGAGGCTGAGGCAAGAGAATTGCCTAAGCCCAAGAGCTGAAGGTTGCTGTGAGCTGTGATGCCACAGCACTCTACTGAGGGCAACAAAGTGAGACTCTCTCTAAAATTAAAATAAATAAATAAATAAATCACCCGTTATTTACATTTCTTTCTTACACAGAGAAATAATGCCCACTTCTTTTTTCAATTTTTCTCATAAACATACTACCTTTCACAAAAAGCAAATACTTAGCTAATCATCAGATCGATTATTTATCTACTTGATGAAATATTTCCCAGTATACTGTATACTCTGTGTTTATGTGATCATGGAAAACTGAGTTAATGGATGTAAGACTTAGTGGAAATTCATCTTTCATATTAGCTTGGAGTTTGGCTAGAAACTGACAGAAGCCAGGACTGAAATGTTCACTCAGTGAGAAATAAGTGTTTCCTGTTCTGTGGCTGGTTGTGGGCTACCTTTGGCTTTAGGGCCCAATGAACTTGACCACTGATTTTGGCCTCTAAGACAAACTGAGTTCTTCTACAAAGGTATCAAAACTCACACTATGGATTAGGCTTATTCTGTCCAGGCCTGGTCTAGCAGTGGTGAAGATTTACAAGGGGGAGAGGAGGTTAAGAGGAATAGGGGTCGGTGTAGGAGAGTTGGGCACATACTAAAAATGGTGGGACACACTGTTTATTACACAGGAAGCCCAAGACTGCTGCCTGGGTCATTGATTAGAGAAAGAACTTGTGTGTCTTAGATTTTGTTTCTAATATCCTTAAGTCTTTCTGAGTGAGAACTGGAGCAATTTTCCCTGCTTTCTCTTTCCCAGTTCACTTTCTGAGGTGATCTGCATTTCCTCTTCCAGACTAAGAAGAAGGGCACTCATCTTTCTGTAACCTGGCCCAGTGTAGAGGTCAAGGCATCTTCTTCTGATATCAGCCATAGTTATCTCCAGATGCCCAGTTGGAAACCTTTCTATTCATGTAAACCACAAAAGCAAAGTTTTAAGAGTCAGTCCCCACAGGATGATTTATTTATTTATTTTTGAGACAGTCTCACTTTGTCACCCTGGGTAGAGTGCCATGGTGTCATTATCAGACTCTTGGGCTCAAGTAATCCTCTTGCCTCAGCCTTCTGAGTAGCTGGGACTATAGGTGCCTGCCACAATGCCTGGCTATTTTTTAGAGATAGGGTCTCACTATGGCTCAGGCTGGTCTTGAACTCCTGAGCTCAAGCAATCCACCTGCCTCAGCCTCCCAGAGTGCTAGGATTACAGGCATGAGCCACTGCACCTGGTCTTCCACAGATGATCTTTTATAAGCATACATGTGACTGATCGTGACATTCCCCTACTTAAAACCACTTAATATCTTGCAGGGGTAGAAGAGGTATGATACCTTTCTTCATCCATCATAAGGATTATAGCTGACATTCCTATAACAAAACACAAATTAACAAGAGAAATGCATAACAAATTTGTTTAATCAAAGTTTTACTTGACACAGGAACCTTGAGGAGACATGAAGACCAAAGTCCCAGGGAAAGCTATTTTTATGCTCAAGTTGCTCAATGAAGAATGGACAGCCATGCAGCAATGTGATTAGACAAAAAGGGTATGATGTAATAGTAAGAGACTCAGGGGAGAAACCAAGCAAAGCCTATCAAGATTCCTGGGTGGTGCCTGTGGCTCA